CTCCAGATACAGTATACCCTAGGAGGGGGGGGGTCAATATGCTAGAGCAAAGTAGAATGAAGGCAAACACTTCATTCTACTTTGCTCTGATGAAGGCGAATTAGCCGAAAACGCATTAAGCATTTTCTATTTTTCACATGTGGTTATTCTGCATACTTGGATCAGTGTTTTTGTGATCATTATTGCATATACAGTATGTATGTATATATATGTATATATATATATATATATATATATATATATATATATATATATATATATATATATATATGTATATATATATATATATATATATATATATATATATATATATATATATATATATATATATATATATATATATATATATATATATATATATATATATATATATATATGTATATATATATATATATATATATATATATATATATATATATATATATATATATATATATATATATATATATATATATATATGTATGCAAACAAGCCTGAATGGTCCCCAGGACTATATACAACTGAAAACTCACACCCCAGAAGTGACTCGAACCCATACTCCCACAACTGGTATGTACAGGGACGCCTTAATCCGCTTGACCATCACGACCGGACATAAGGAAGTGATAGCCGAGGCTATATGAACCACTTCCCCGCCGGCACTCGGATGGTAATCTTGGGCATAGCATTTTATCAAATCACCTCATTCTTTGGGGCACACGTGAGGAACACAAATGCAAACAAGCCTGAATGGTCCCCAGGACTATATACAACTGAAAACTCACACCCCAGAAGTGACTCGAACCCATACTCCCACAACTGGTATGTACAGGGACGCCTTAATCCGCTTGACCATCACGACCGGACATAAGGAAGTGATAGCCGAGGCTATATGAACCACTTCCCCGCCGGCACTCGGATGGTAATCTTGGGCATAGCATTTTATCAAATCACCTCATTCTTTGGGGCACACGTGAGGAACACAAATGCAAACAAGCCTGAATGGTCCCCAGGACTATATACAACTGAAAACTCACACCCCAGAAGTGACTCGAACCCATACTCCCACAACTGGTATGTACAGGGACGCCTTAATCCGCTTGACCATCACGACCGGACATAAGGAAGTGATAGCCGAGGCTATATGAACCACTTCCCCGCCGGCACTCGGATGGTAATCTTGGGCATAGCATTTTATCAAATCACCTCATTCTTTGGGGCACACGTGAGGAACACAAATGCAAACAAGCCTGAATGGTCCCCAGGACTATATACAACTGAAAACTCACACCCCAGAAGTGACTCGAACCCATACTCCCACAACTGGTATGTACAGGGACGCCTTAATCCGCTTGACCATCACGACCGGACATAAGGAAGTGATAGCCGAGGCTATATGAACCACTTCCCCGCCGGCACTCGGATGGTAATCTTGGGCATAGCATTTTATCAAATCACCTCATTCTTTGGGGCACACGTGAGGAACACAAATGCAAACAAGCCTGAATGGTCCCCAGGACTATATACAACTGAAAACTCACACCCCAGAAGTGACTCGAACCCATACTCCCACAACTGGTATGTACAGGGACGCCTTAATCCGCTTGACCATCACGACCGGACATAAGGAAGTGATAGCCGAGGCTATCACTTCCTTATGTCCGGTCGTGATGGTCAAGCGGATTAAGGCGTCCCTGTACATACCAGTTGTGGGAGTATGGGTTCGAGTCACTTCTGGGGTGTGAGTTTTCAGTTGTATATAGTCCTGGGGACCATTCAGGCTTGTTTGCATTTGTGTTCCTCACGTGTGCCCCAAAGAATGAGGTGATTTGATAAAATGCTATGCCCAAGATTACCATCCGAGTGCCGGCGGGGAAGTGGTTCATATAGCCTCGGCTATCACTTCCTTATGTCCGGTCGTGATGGTCAAGCGGATTAAGGCGTCCCTGTACATACCAGTTGTGGGAGTATGGGTTCGAGTCACTTCTGGGGTGTGAGTTTTCAGTTGTATATAGTCCTGGGGACCATTCAGGCTTGTTTGCATTTGTGTTCCTCACGTGTGCCCCAAAGAATGAGGTGATTTGATAAAATGCTATGCCCAAGATTACCATCCGAGTGCCGGCGGGGAAGTGGTTCATATAGCCTCGGCTATCACTTCCTTATGTCCGGTCGTGATGGTCAAGCGGATTAAGGCGTCCCTGTACATACCAGTTGTGGGAGTATGGGTTCGAGTCACTTCTGGGGTGTGAGTTTTCAGTTGTATATAGTCCTGGGGACCATTCAGGCTTGTTTGCATTTGTGTTCCTCACGTGTGCCCCAAAGAATGAGGTGATTTGATAAAATGCTATGCCCAAGATTACCATCCGAGTGCCGGCGGGGAAGTGGTTCATATAGCCTCGGCTATCACTTCCTTATGTCCGGTCGTGATGGTCAAGCGGATTAAGGCGTCCCTGTACATACCAGTTGTGGGAGTATGGGTTCGAGTCACTTCTGGGGTGTGAGTTTTCAGTTGTATATAGTCCTGGGGACCATTCAGGCTTGTTTGCATTTGTGTTCCTCACGTGTGCCCCAAAGAATGAGGTGATTTGATAAAATGCTATGCCCAAGATTACCATCCGAGTGCCGGCGGGGAAGTGGTTCATATAGCCTCGGCTATCACTTCCTTATGTCCGGTCGTGATGGTCAAGCGGATTAAGGCGTCCCTGTACATACCAGTTGTGGGAGTATGGGTTCGAGTCACTTCTGGGGTGTGAGTTTTCAGTTGTATATAGTCCTGGGGACCATTCAGGCTTGTTTGCATTTGTGTTCCTCACGTGTGCCCCAAAGAATGAGGTGATTTGATAAAATGCTATGCCCAAGATTACCATCCGAGTGCCGGCGGGGAAGTGGTTCATATAGCCTCGGCTATCACTTCCTTATGTCCGGTCGTGATGGTCAAGCGGATTAAGGCGTCCCTGTACATACCAGTTGTGGGAGTATGGGTTCGAGTCACTTCTGGGGTGTGAGTTTTCAGTTATATATATATGTATATATATATATATATATATATATATATATATATATATATAATATATGTATATATATATATATATATATATATATATATATATATATATATGTATATATATATATATATATATATATATATATATATATATAATATATGTATATATATATATATATATATATATATATATATATATATATATATATATATATATATATATATATACTTAACATTCTAATGAAACTACTCCAAGCTTGTACTAAAGAGGCACCCTTCTTGAGCCCGGATGGGCACATGTATCAGCAAGTAGATGGGGTCGCCATGGGTTCTCCCCTAGGTGTCCTGTTTGCGAACTTCTACATGGGTACCATCGAGCAAAAAGTCTTAGTCGACATGAACTTGAAACCGGCCATATACTGCAGGTATGTTGACGACATTTTTACACAGGTACCTGATGTCAGACATCTGCAGGAGCTGAAGGAGGCATTTGAGCAGAATTCTGTGTTGCGTTTCACTTACGAGATGGAGAAGGATGGAAAGCTGCCCTTTCTAGATGTAACAGTCATGGAAAGGAGCGGAGGTTCCACACTGCAGTCTACACTAAGGAAACGAACATAGGAATGTGCCTAAATGCGAACAGTGACTGCCCAGACAGGTACAAGAGGAGTGTTGTTAACGCTTATGTCGACTGTGCTCTCAGCCACAGCTCAGGATGGAAGCAAGTCGACGAAGAACTCTGTAGGGTAAGGAAGGTCCTAGTCAACAACGGCTTCTCCAATGGTTTCGTTGAAGACATCATAAGAAGGAAAGTGAAACGCCATGCAACCTCTGAAGAGACAACTAACACAACACCTATACCCCCTATTAGACTATTTTACAGGAACTTCTTTTCCACAGCTCATAAAACGGAGGAAAGGGTCCTGAAAGATATTGTTAATAGAAACGTTATCCCTACAGACAAAAATCAGGAGATACAACTGACGATTTACTATAAAACCAAAAATACGGCCAGCCTACTCATGAGAAACTCTCCAGACACAAAGCAGAACGCTTTAAAAGAGACCAACGTCGTCTATGCCTTCAAATGCCCTCTTGGGGACTGTAAGCCTCAAAAAACTCAGTATATAGGCAAGACAACATCTCTTTCCAGGCGTTTAACGATGCATAAGCAACAGGGCTCCATTAAGGAACATATAATCTCTTCCCACAACCAAACCATCACCAGAGAAATCTTAGTAAACAACACATAAATCATCGATAGATACAGTGATAGCAGGCGACTTGACATCTGTGAGGCACTACACATCAAGAAGTCAACACCAGCAATCAACAGCCAAATAATGCACAACTATATTCTACCCACTTCAAGACTCCGCTCCAATATAGAAGCATCAAGAAATATGGGCCAATAGGCCCTCTGCAATTACTTCCATTCTTACCTTCAATACCCATTATTTCGTGTTCTGTCTTGTGTTGAAAGTTTGTTTTCACCTCATCCAAAACTGTTGTAACATATCACCTCACCCAAATGCAGGTATAAAAAATCGAAGATGTTTAAGCTCTATTCAGTTATAGTTTAGTTATGTGTGTGTAAACTAAAGTCTTTGAAAATGTAATAAGTTTTACGAAACGCGCTCAAGTGTCGCGTCAGACTAGAAATAAAAATGAATTTTGGAGAATTGATTTTTCAATTACCATCAACAGTGAAAAGAAACATAAGAAAGATCGAGAAAATTCGTGTTAGAATTATTAATCTTACTTTTTCGGCCATATTTAATAATATTATATATAAATATATTATATATATATATATATATATATATATATATATATATATATATATATATATATATATATATATGCTTTGATCAACGTGGAAGCATTATGGTAATATGACACAAATAATGAGTATACTGTATACCACTTGAAGCTCTGATCATAATGTACACAATCCTGTACTAAAATTAAATCATCATTTTGTCATAAATTGATGGATTAAAATGAAAGACACACATGACAGCTCACATTTCAAGTTTTTATTTTGTTATATCTGTAGAGGTTTTCTAATATTAGCCAATTGTTTGTCTCCAGAGTATTGTAACATGTTCACCTATCTCCAGAGTTCTGTAATGTGTTCACCTATCTCCAGAGTTCTGTAATGTGTTCACCTATCTCCAGAGTACTGTAATGTGTTCACCTATCTCCAGAGTACTGTAATGTGTTCACCTATCTTCAGAGTTCTGTAATGTGTTCACCTATCTCCAGAGTTCTGTAATGTGTTCACCTATCTCCAGAGTTCTGTAATGTGTTCACCTATCTCCAGAGTTCTGTAATGTGTTCACCTATCTCCAGAGTTCTGTAATGTGTTCACCTATCTCCAGAGTTCTGTAATGTGTTCACCTATCTCCAGAGTTCTGTAATGTGTTCAACTATCTCCAGAGTAATGTAACATATTATCTCCAGAGTACTGTAATGTGTTATCTTCAGAGTATTGTAACATGTTCACCTATCTTCAGAGTACTGTAATGTGTTCACCTATCTCCAGAGTACTGTAATGTGTTCACCTATCTCCAGAGTACTGCAATGTGTTCACCTATCTCCAGAGTACTGTAATGTGTTCACCTATCTTCAGAGTATTGTAATGTGTTCACCTATCTTCAGAGTACTGTAATGTGTTCACCTATCTTCAGAGTACTGTAATGTGTTCACCTATCTTCAGAGTACCGCAATGTGTTCACCTATCTCCAAAGTACTCTAACATGTTCACCTATCTCCAATACCCTCATCCACTGCTGCTTTCTTATCCCAGTTCATACTTAGGTCTGAAGGTGGAGTTTTGCCGCCTTTAAACTTTTCCAGACATTTGTCGAGGCGTTGGATGAAGAGTTCCACGTCATGTTTGGTCATGCCGATGCTGGCTGCTGCTGTCAGGTACGGCTGCGGGTAGCTCTTGGTATGACTGCCCCAGCCTTTAGGGTGAAATTAAGAGAGTTTAGTTACGTTTTTATTCACTTGTACTGTATATGCATCAGGAGACTTTGATTAATTTTAATATTTGTAAATACTTGAATAATGTTTTCCATTTGAGAAAAGTCCAAGAAAACTGATAGTGTAATATAGGCTATAACAGGATTTATTTGAAGATGAGGGGTGGGCACTTCTTTCATTGCCAAGGTTCCCCATACAAGCATGTACCCTCGAACCACTATCACAAACTTCCCACCTACGCGTAACAAAGACTAGCTAAAATATACACACATATAGAATGAAGGCAATTCCATACCCCTAACATGGACCTGGAAAATCACAACCAAAGAGGGAGCCAATATAGACCTTCTGCAGTTTCCAGTATGCTTATGTTCTTATGATAAATATATTCCATACCTTTAATCTTTTCTTATCCTACCACTTCCATTATTTCTAATATATATTTTGTTTAATTTTATTTTATTTTAGTGCAATGCTACAGTTTACAGAAGACACACACACATATATATAATAATATAACAATCAGTGTTCGAAGACCTCGTCCAGCTCTTCAGAGGTCTTCACACACACACACACATACTTCCCTGTGTACAGGAATCGTAGCAGACGTGTGGAAACAGGCTAACATAGTTCCAATCTACAAAAGTGGCAGCAGGGAAGACCCTCTCAATTATAGACCTGTATCACTGACAAGTGTAATAGTGAAAGTATTGGAAAAACTAATCAAAACTAAATGGTAGAACACCTGGAGAGAAATGATATAATATCAGACAGACAGTATGGTTTTCGATCTGGAAGATCCTGTGTATCTAATTTACTCAGTTTCTATGATCGAGCCACAGAGAGTTTACAGGAAAGAGATGGTTGGGTTGACTGCATCTATCTGGACCTAAAAAACAGCTTTTGACAGAGTTCCCCATAAGAGGTTGTTCTGGAAACTGGAACATATTGGAAGGGTGACAGGTAAGCTTCTAACATGGATGAAAAATTTTCTGACTGATAGAAAAATGAGGGCTGTGATCAGAGGCAATGTATCGGAATGGAGAAATGTCACAAGTAGAGTACCACAGGGTTCAGTTCTTGCACCAGTGATGTTTATTGTGTACATAAATGATCTACCAGTTGGTATACAGAATTATATGAACATGTTTGCTGATGATGCGAAGATAATAGGAAGGATAAGAAACTTAGATGATTGTCATGCCCTTCAAGAAGACCTGGACAAAATAAGTATATGGAGCACCACTTAGCAAATGGAATTTAATGTTAATAAATGCCATATTATGGAATGTGGAATAGGAGAACATAGACCCCCACACAACCTATATATTATGTGAGAAATCTTTAAAGAATTCTGATAAAGAAAGAAATCTAGGGGTGGTTCTAGATAAAAAATTATCACCTGAGGACCACATAAAGAATGTTGTGCGAGGAGCCTATGCTACGCTTTCTAACTTCAGAATTGCTTTTAAATACATGGATGGCGATATACTAAAGAAATTGTTCACGACTTTTGTTAGGCTAAAGGTAGAATATGCAGCTGTTGTGTGGTGCCCATATCTTAAGAAGCACATCAACAAACTGGAAAAGGTGCAAAGACATGCTACTAAGTGGCTCCCAGAACTGAAGGGCAAGAGCTACGTGGAGAGGTTAGAGGCATTAAATATGCCAAAACTAGAAGACAAAAGAAAAAGAGGTGATATGATCACTACATACAAAATAGTAACAGGAATTGATAAAATCGATAGGGAAGATTTCCTGAGACCTGGAACTTAAAGAGGTCATAGATTTAAACTAACCAAACACTGATGTCGAAGAAATATAAGAAAATTCACTTTCGCAAACAGAGTGGTAGACGATTGGAACAAGTTAGGTGAGAAGGTGGTGGAGGCCAAGACCGTCAGTAGTTTCAAAGCGTTATATGACAAAGAGTGCTGGGAAGACGGGACACCACGAGCATAGCTCTCATCCTGTAACTACACTTAGGTAATTACACTTAGGTAATTACACACACACTCACTGTATACACGGTTTCTGACCAAGCACACTTGAAATAATAACCAATCCAATTCATATTACGGTTCCTCAGGGCCAGGGAAAGAAGGCATGTTAGGCTTATTCAGGCCTTCCCCCCCCCCCCACCCCCCCAAGTCAACAACAGACCTTCCCCAGGGATACTACCCACAACAGTTGCCTAAATCCCAGGTACCTATTTGGAACAGGTGAGGTGAACAGAGGCATCAGCTGAAAGGAAACATGCCCACCCATCTCTGTCTCGCCAGATAATCAAATCTGGGATCCACGGTTGTGAGCCGAGGACGTAGACCACTACAGGACCCAATCTGTGGACGCTAAACAAGCTGGAACCAAACGGCAGGTTTTTAGACAAGATGCTGGATTCCAAGCCTCAAAAATGAAGATTTATCATGAATTACAATAACTATGGCCTCTTGAGGTTATCTTGAGACGATTTCGGGGCTTAGCGTCCCCTCGGCCCGGTCCTAGACCAGGCCTCCTTTTTGTTACACATCCCCAGGAAGTAGCCCATAGCAGCTGTCTAACTCCCAGGTACCTATTTACTGCTTGGTGAACAGGAAAATATCAGGGTGAAAGAAACTGCCCATTTGATTCCACCTCCGCCAGGAATCAAACTCAGAACCTTAGGACTACAAATCCAGAACACTGTCCACTCGGCTGTCAAGCCCCGACGGATGAATATCAGTCATAAAACAGAGGAAAATTCCATACTTTATCACCAGCAGTAGCCAGTGGGGGAGGAGAGGGGGGGGGGGGGTCACAAACACTTAAGGAGCAAAGCCCTAACTTGTACACAGGGAACAATCACGTTCAATCCCCGACCCTCCAAGTGGTTGGGCACTTCCTTTCCCCCGTCCCATCCCAAATCCTTATCCTGACCCCTTGCAGGTGCTATATAGTCATAATGACTTGGCGCTTTCCCCTTGATAATTCCCTTCCCTACTTGAAGGCATGACCAACACCGGGATCCAGCAATACCAAACATCACGTGCCTGAGGATAATGTAAGTCCCGACCCCAACAGGAAGAGCAACTGGGTCACCAGGTCACTTTCATTGATACCTGCAGTATCAAAGAATAATGAATCACATTCTGGAAAGCTGCAAAAGAATGGAAAAATAAATGCAATGGCAGAAGGACTATCGGCTCATATGAGACAGCTCTGAATTACATCCACACAAACTCATTCGTGTATGCTGTGTCTAATTGACACACACAGGTAGTGTCTAGTACAGAAGGGCTATCCATCACTTCCCAACCCTTCAAAGACGTAAGCAAATCTTATGGAAGCACAGGTACCAGTTGTTCATAACCATTAAACAAATCAGCAAGAGTGCCAGAGGCAAGAGAAAACATTATCACCTATTGCACACCAAATGCAGTTAATCAGTCTACGCTGAAAGGTGTATGAAACCGAAGTACAGTACAATACATACATAAATAATAGAAGTGTCTTAACTCTACATACAGCCACATCCATTAATATACAAACCTGTCACAAAACACTAACAAAAACAGAGCCAGAGCAATGTGCAAACAAGGTAATAAATGTAATAAATATAATAAATTAGAGTCCCTGTTATAATTTGGCAGGAAGAGAAACTAATGCGTGATCTACATGGCGTTTATTCACAACCACAATGACATTACCGGGTATAGGTTACATGACTTACTATTTACAATGCTAATAAAATAAAAACACATCTGCTCAAAACATTACGCACCTAACCTATGTAGCACTTAATCGTACAAAATACCTTAATTCTAAGAGTCCCAGTAGTACAGTTGGATTCGTTCTTGACTCACAATTGTGAATTATGGATTCAAATCCCGGGCTGGCAGAAATGGTTGAGCATGTTTCCTATCACCTAATACCCCTATCCACCTAGCAGTGAATAGATACTCTGGCAGTAGTCAGCCAACTTCAACTTCTCATCAACAAATCTTGCATTGGGGAATACCTGGAGTTTACCCGGAGAGGATTATGAGAGTTCTTGTACTCTTTGAGCCTGGCCTGGGGCCAGGCTTGACTTGTGATAACTAGGCTCAACAAGCCCTGTCTGGAACAGCAAGAACTATCAAGGAGGATGCCACAGAGGCCCCACTTAAGTCTTCTATATGTAAGATAGAGTAAATATAGACAACAAGCAGAGTGACGGAAAGTACTAAAGACACAATGCAGTTTGGCATAATCAGTTGTGAAAGTGGAAACATTAATAATGGCATCAAACGCCCTTATGCGGGATCATCGTTCCTGGAAAGCCAATAATACACTTAAGATATTAAAAGCCTCAAATTGAGCTTCAGCAGCGACGTCATCACTATATAGCATCAGGTATAAAAGTAAGAACTCTACTGTTGTGAGACCCAACATAGCCCAAGCTGCTGCCACTTGCTGGTGACCTGCATAGGTTGTCCAAGGGTTGTTACCTGTATTCACCTAGTTGTGTTTGCGGGGGTTGTTAAAGAATGTTAAAATTATTAGGCATATTATTGTGAAGTTTGTAAGAGCCTTGCTTCCATTTATATTATTCATAAAATGGGAAGGATAACACGAAACTCTTCCATTCTCCTAAACATGTAAACACTCGTTACTTACCAACAAATTCCACACCAGCAATGGTCTTGACATCTGCGGTGTCAATAACTCGAGTTCCCGAGATGCCACGCAGGAACATCATCGAGCCAAGTTCAGTTAGCGAAGAGCCGGCATCACTCGGCACCGTCATGGCTGCGTGAAGAGAGAGTTTCTTACAACCTCAATACAGTGTGTCCTACATTCCTGGGGTTAGATACACACTTAACCACTAGTGGGGAGACGACAGAGGTTATGTTAGTTGGGGAGAGGGAGGAGGGTGCCTTACTCCTTCCTGGGAACTCCATATCGGGGAGTAGCCACAGGAGTTTCTACTTTACCTTGCGATGATTTCAGGGCTCAATGTCCCTGCAGCCCTGTCCTAGACCAGGCCTCTTTGACCAGGACACTAGGTCTCGCCCTAGGCCTCTACCAGAGATTATCACCACACAAATCTGTTATCTTTTCCAGCTCTCTGACCCCTCCCCTGCTCTGTTTCACATATATGCCGTTTAAATTCCTGCCTTCCAGAGAGAACATATGACTCCTCTTCTGCATGCCATTGTGCCAGAAATCCCTTATGTTTGGTGTCAAAGGACACAATGACCCCACTCATTCGGCTTCCATCTATACCTTACCAAACCAGAAACGGCATACTTTTTTGTGCAAAGGTGAGGAAACAATTTCTTAAATTAGCTGCATTGCAAAGGTTAAAGAAATTTCAGTGCTCAGTGGGAAAAAGGTAAACGCAGGTTTAACAGTGAGAAATGCAAATATCTTTACTTGGATAAATGCAGCACTGCAGTAATGCATGAAATAAAATTACCAAGGTGTTGGGATGTATATAAAATAATAAGCAGCAGAAACATGAATGTCATACTTCAGCAGAATGATATTCACACTATACTGTGATATACTGTGCAGTTCTGGGCCAAGATTCACTAAGCATTTATCTATCTACTTACAAAACCTGTACATCTTTGTATTTATTAAACAGTTTATGAACTTCGAAGCAGCACGAGACTGTCTATAACAATAATCTCGGGTCGAAAATACCCTCGCGCCCCTTCCAAGCTCGTAAACTGTTCAATAAATACAAACTAACCAGCCACCATCAAGGAGAGATGTAAAGGTCTTGCAGGTACACACACACAAATGCTTGATGAACCCTGCCCCCGGTCATCGTACTATGCAATGGATATACGGAAAAATACAGAAAAGGATGACGACTAATGTCTGGTACTGGCGACCTTTCTTAGGAATATAATTTAAAGTCTCAATCTACTCTCTGGAGAGGCCCAAATGAGAGGCAACACAATAGTGGTTTTGAAGAGAATATTAAACAGAAACACGAAGGATATAAATAAGATTCTGAGAACCAGAATACGTCGGAAATTGTGTACGTGGGGGGAAATTGTTTTAGGAGAGATAGAGGGAAGCATCACTTTGGGAACAGGATTGTGAGCGAGTGGAATGAGCCTGCTGACAAGCATTTTAGAGACAAATAAGTTTCAAGGAAGGGGGGGGGGGAAGACTGGCTATGTATACGGGTGCAAGGACCTGGATTTAAATTGGACAAGCCTAATTTGGATCAATGAATGTGTTGAGGTGCTCCCTAGCCTTTTATGATCTAATCACTACCCAAGCATAAATCCAAAGAGAAGCGAGGTTCTTGACTAACTATAAGGGATCCTGGGTTTAATGTCTAGCCGGGACAGAAGGGCTCGGGCATGTTATCTTTCCCTTAAGGCTTCTTTTCACCTAGCAGTATATAGGTACCATGAAGTTAAGACAAGTGTAGTAGGGATTGCATCCTGGGAAAGGTCCAAAGTTCAGCCTTGGGAGGACTTCAATACCATCCGAAAGTGATCCCAGACAATAGAAATTAATTATCATACACGAGTCGGGGCCAAACGTGAACATTACAGTGAATTTCATCACAATGAACTAATTCAGCTTTATTAAACCCAAAGTCTGACTTTGATGACCAACTCTCAAGCCCCAGCCTGCAACACTTGAGGGTTCAAACACCAGACAGGAAGAAACCTGAACCCTGCAGAAGAGTTAACTTTGGTTAAGAATTGGAAAAATGCAAAACACCACCAAGGAAGAGAACTCTGAAACAACGGCAGAGCAAACTAACTGGAAATGAAGATGCAGGGTGTATAGCACAAACACAATCACGAAGCATAATTAGGAATGTAAACTAGGTAAAGCCTCCCATATAGGACAAAGATATTTCAAGGAACAGAGCAACACTTGTGTGGTGAGCAGATGAGGAGGTCGCCCATAGATGTCATAGCACCATAGGTGTCATCAGTCATGCAAGTGATGGTGTTGGTCTGCTGGACCCCCCCCCCCCCCCTGGGTAAAGGTGTTGGTCTGCTGGACCTCCCCCCCTGGGTGATGGTGTTGGTCTGCTGCATCCCACCTGGGTGATGGTGTTGGTCTGCTGGAGACCCCCTGGGTGATAGTGATGGTCTGCTGGACCCCCTGGGTGATGGTAATGCTCTGCTGGACCCCCCCCTGGGTGATTTTGTTGGTCTGCTGAACCCCCCTGGGTGATTTTGTTGGTCTGCTGAACCCCCCTGGGTGATGGTGTTGGTCTGCTGAACCCCCCTGAGTGACGGTGTTGGTCTGCTGAACCCCCCCCCTCGGTGATGGGGTTGGTCTGCTGGACCCCCCTGGGTGATGGTGTTGGTCTGCTGGACCCCCCTGGGTGATGGTGTTGGTCTGCTGGACCCCCCCCTGGGTGATGGTGTTGGTCTGCTGAACCCCCCCCTGGGTGATGGTGTTCGTCTGCTGAACCCCCCTGAGTGACGGTGTTGGTCTGCTGAACCCCCCCCCCCCTCGGTGATGGGGTTGGTCTGCTGGACCCCCCCTGGGTGATGGTGTTGGTCTGCTGGACCCCCCCAGGGGTGATGGTGTTGGTCTGCTGAACCCCCCTGGGTGATGGTGTTGGTCTGCTGGACCCCCCTGGGTGATGGTGTTGGTCTGCTGGACCCTCCCTGGGTGATGGTGTTGGTCTGCTGGACCCCCCTGGGTGATGGTGCTGGTCTGCTGGAACTCCCCGGGTGATGGTGTTGGTCTGCTGGACCCCCCTGGGTGATGGTGTTGGTCTGCTGGACCCCCCTGGGTGATGGTCTGCTGGACCCCCCTGGGTGTTGGTCTGCTGGACTCCCCTGGGTGACGGTGTTGGTCTGCTGGACCCCCCCTGGGTGATGGTGTTGGTCTGCTGGACCCGTCTGGGTGATGGTGCTGGTCTGCTGGAACTCTCCGGGTGATGGTGTTGGTCTGCTGGACCCCCTGGGTGATGGTGTTGGTCTGCTGGACCCCCTGGGTGATGGTGTTGGTCTGCTGGACCCCCCTGGGTGATGGTGTTGGTCTGCTGGACCCCCCTGGGTGATGGTGTTGGTCTGCTGGACCCCCCTGGGTGATGGTGTTGGTCTGCTGGACCCCCCTGGGTGATGGTGTTGGTCTGCTGGACCCCCCTGGGTGATGGCGATGGTCTGCTGGACCCCCCTGGGTGATGGTGATGGTCTGCTAGACCCCCCTGGGTGATGGTGTTGGTCTGCTGGACCCCCCTGGGTGATGGTGATGGTCTGCTAGACCCCCCTGGGTGATGGTGTTGGTCTGCTGGACCCCCCTGGGTGATGGTGATGGTCTGCTAGACCCCCCTGGGTGATGGTGTTGGTCTGCTGGACCCCCCTGGGTGATTGTGGTGGTCTGCTGGACCCCCCTGGGTGATGGTGTTGGTCTGCTGGACCCCCCCTGGGTGATGGTGTTGGTCTGCTGGACCCCCCCTGGGTGATGGTGTTGGTCTGCTGGACCCCTCCTGGGTGATGGTGTTGGTCTGCTGGACCCCCCTGGGTGATGGTCTGCTAGACCCCCCTGGGTGTTGGTCTGCTGGACCCCCCTGGGTGATGGTCTGCTAGACCCCCCTGGGTGTTGGTCTGCTGGACCCCCCTGGGTGATGGTGTTGGTCTGCTGGACCCCCTGGGTGATGGTGTTGGTCTGCTGGACCTCCCTGGGTGATCCAAGATGCCATCTGGTGGTGTGTTGTGTATCAATTCAATGATTGTTTATTACAGGCAAACTAATATTTGTTTGTTTTTTGTTTCTCTTTCTATTCGAGATTCGGTGATTATTTAGCTTCATCTGTGCTTTCTGGTCGATTTTTATTGGTTAGGAGTTGATCTCTGATCTTGAGTGCCCCAGATTCTGAAGAGCCTAGAGTGCAAGTTCTGCTCGATGCTTTTGCTACTAGAGCTGAGGAATGTGGCCTCCTTATCTCTGTACAAAAAACTCGTGCACTCATTCCATGTGGTCTTCAACCAGCCAATTATCATATAGATGGACGAGCACTTGAGAACTGCGAGTCTTACAGATACCTTGGTGTCCCCATTAACGACCCTGGGTACCTTTCTTCTCTCAAGAGGAGACTGTGGAAGAGATTAAAGCCCTTGCGGGTCCTTGTTGGTGTCAATCATGGAATTAACCTGAGACTTACTATAATGTTTTATGTATCATTTATACGCTCTGTGATTGACTACAATGCTCTACATCTCACACTGTATACAGAGAAAGAGCTGAAATCTCTTGAAACCTTGCAAAATGAAGCTATGCGTCTCATCCTTGGGGCTCCAAAGTCCACGAAAATAATTAATATGAGAGCAGAGTTAAAATTACCTACCATAAGTGAGAGAATTTTGTCTATTAGCACAGTTTTCGGCGTGAAGGCATTGAGTAGATCTCGGCAACACATGAAGTTTCAATCTAAACTTTCTAATATGCTACACTCACCTAACGTCTATAGAAGAGTGAAATCTGATTATGCATTTTAGTTCTACAAGGTAGCCAACTCCATCAAAATATTAAATATGTACCCAACTCAATTAATGATTAATCAACCAATTACTCCATGAGATAACTGGGATCAGTTGATTTTGTAAATGCACCCAAGATAGATAGTGGACAGTACACTCTACATTATTAAAGGAGTTAATACTGAAAAGTATCACTGAGAGTACTCAGGGTATGGGTAACGATATGTATCAGTGCTATACCGACGGTTCTGTAGAAGGTGGACGATGTACCAGATGCGCATGTAATATATTTGAACACTCTTCTCTCGTACATACAGCAATGAAGCGCGTCAATGATTGGGCAAGTACAAGTCAAACCAAACTTGCAGGCATATACCTTGCCACTGAATTTTTAAAAGACAAAGGTAGTGGACTTATATACTGTGACTCGTAGAGTGCACTCCTGGCATTGAACGCACATAGTAGTGACACCCAGAAAATAGTCAGTGATATTCGAATGAATGTTTTAGCTGCTAAAGAAAACAGATTTTAAATTAAATTCCTATAGATACCATCACATGTTGGGATCTCAAGGCATGACACTGTTGATATGCTTGCAAATCATATGCAGATATGCCTGTAGAAAACCAGTGGTAGAAATTGATATGGGTGTTTCATTAGCAGTGACAAAGAGAATACTTAAACATATATCGAATGAAGATCTCACCGACCTAACAAATTCCCAAAACCTGAAAGTTGTAGCATTAAATATTAGGATAGATATCGTGAGGAGACATTCACATATGGGACTAATAGAACAAGAACCCGGCAATGTGATGTTATAGTGGCCAGAATACGCCTGGGATATAGACGTATCTGGCAACTTTCTCAAAACCCAAATGTCGAGTACACAATGTGTCAACTTTGTGAAAGAGAAAACATGCACTCTCTTGAACATTATATTGTAGAATGTCCCATATTGACTGACTTTCGCCCTCCTGGGCTAAGGTATGCTGAACTCTGTAATTACTATACGAGTATTGGAACACTTGATGATATATTGTACTTGTACCCAAGATTGACCATGTAATGTATCAATTATACAATATATGTATGTGATGTAACTATATAACCTGAGCTTGTAAAAGCACCTTTATCACCTTCAGTGATTAAGTGCTTAATTGCACACTAGTTTCTCTATCAGCTATCTCACCCTGTCAGAGTAAAAGAGACAAATGTATGTGAATGCATGTGTGTGTGTACTCACCTAATTGTGCTTGCGGGGGTTGAGCTTTGGCTCTTTGGTCCCACCTCTCAACTGTCATATATGTATATATGTACGTATATGTGTGTGTGTGTGTGTGTATGTATGTGTATAAAGTATATATGGAAGCTGATCAGAATTACATTTCACCTTTGTAAATGCACATTAATGACACTATGTAAAAGCGAACACTTTATGTAGGGCATACATAAATCTGTGTATCTATGTATTTACGTATGTAGGTTAGCTTAGCATTTTAAAAGCACCGAATCACCTTCTGTGGTTGATTGTTCAATAAACCCTTGAACTATATGTTTAACACATCTCTAACCCTGTCCATGGAGGACAGAAGAAAATGTATATATGCTGGTTAGCATTGTAAATGTGTGGCCACGTCTGTGGTAGTGGTAGTAGTAGTAGTAGAAGAAGAAGAAGAAGAACAGATTCTGGTGTTCAGTAGGTCTCCACAAATCCAGAGGCTAGGTAGCATTGTGTTTCTGGAGTACCAGACCAATTCCCTAGTGAGCTACTGAAAGGCCAGGCCACAAATATCCCGGCCCGTTCTCACAAACGTTCCTAACATCAACAAACTGTCGTACTAAAGTGCCCTTATTCTAACTTACCAGAGGACCCAAAACAGAAAATGGGACAGTATGCCAATTTTGCGAGACACTATCATTTTCTAATACGGCAATTTTTGGCCTTGGGTAAAGAACTATATACAGTATGTCAAAATGCGGTGTACTATTAGAAAGACGAGTTGAATATCCAGTGCATCTCGATGTTGGGTACATTTTAAAACATATGAAAAAAGCGTCCAGCTCAGCTGGCAATTCAAGAGAATGAGTTCCAATTAAGCAGGAGCACACGGTACTGTACTGAATCAGAACAAAAATGTACACCACATACCAGAAAATTTGCAAAACTGATGAAATTTAATTCCAAAATGAAAGAAAATGTGATAAATAAATGCTGCTGCTTGTATTCTAACAAATTAAATCAACCTTACCAACAGATATGGGGTTATTCTTGGTACTGAGAACACGCAGTCCATGTTTCTGTGCCACCATCTCCATCTGTGTCGTGAGCAGCATCTTCAGTTCCTTTCTTTCCGTCAGAAGTTGCTTGTAGCCCTTCATGCCCATTGAGAGCAGAGTTATGAACAGGTCTACGATAGGACTGCTGGATGCCCGGCCTGCTCGTGGCAGAATGAAAAGGCCAGGTTTTTATTTCATTCATTTAAAAACCAAAGTGCATATTTTCTATTTTGCATGTCGACAGTAATGTATTTGCTTCAAAACTTTGCACTCATTATATCTTATCTACCTCTACATCAGTCTCTCTTTCTATATCATACATATACAAAAAATGTACATTGTACATACTGTACACAAAACTGCCGGCAGTTTCAAAGCTCCATATGACAGTACTGGGAAGACAGGACACCAAGAGTGAAGCTCTCATCCTATAGCTACATTTAGGTAATTACACACACACACACACACACACTTGAATAGATACACTCACATGCATACATACATACACACTTGGTGGTGGAGGCCAAGACCGTCAGTAGTTTCAAAGCGTTATATGACAAAGAGTGCTGGGGAGACGGGACACCACGAGCGTAGCTCTCATCCTGTAACTACACTTAGGTAATTACACTTAGGTAATTACTTACTGCACCACACCAATCACACTTGACAGTATGGAAGAGTGGTGGTGGTGGTGGTGGGTGTCAGTACGGAGGACGGTGCCAACTTGTGTAAGGCTGACAATGTGCATGACCGCGGCAATATACAGTGACACCTCTCTTATCCAGACCTCTATATAATGAATCCCACAAATCAAGTGACTAAATTCACCTACGAAATATCTCCATCTGAAATAAACATTTCTATACAGCAAAGAAAATTGGATTCAGGAAATGGATGTTATGAAATCAAGCATGATAATCATGCAAGGAAACTTCAATCAAATCATATTTTCTTACTTTTTATTTGTATATACTGTATATATTATTACAAATACTCTACAGTAATATTTGTATATTTTAAAAATGTTTGGCTAAGCTTGTACTATACACTATAAATTATACAAATGGGTTTCCTTATGACATTTATTTTGAAGCATCTAGGCCTTTTTCCCAAAAATGCTGTGCATATTAGTGGCTTTAGGTGTAGTATGTACTAGCTCTATCTAGAAATCCAACGTTATGTTTGTAACTCATCTTTAATGTATGTACTTTTACCTGAATTAACATTATCTTATCTATTGTGAGGGCGCACACACACACACACACACTAATCAAAACTAAATGAGTAGAACACCTGGAGAGAAATGATATAATATCAGACAGACAGTATGGTTTTCGATCTGGAAGATCCTGTGTATCGAATTTACTCAGTTTTTATGATCGAGCCACAGAAATATTACAGGAAAGAGATGGTTGGGTTGACTGCATCTATCTGGACCTAAAAAAGGCTTTCAACAGAGTTCCACATAAGAGGTTGTTCTGGAAACTGGAAAATATTGGAGGAGTGACAGGTAAGCTTCTAACATGGATGAAAAATTTTCTGATAGAAAAATGAGGGCAGAAATCAGAGGCAATGTATCGGAATTGAGAAATGCCACAAGTGGAGTACCACAGGGTTCAGTTCTTGCACCAGTGATGTTTATTGTCTACATAAATGATCTACCAGTTGGTATACAGAATTATATGAACATGTTTGCTGATGATGCTAAGATAATAGGAAGAATAAGAAATTTAGATGATTGTCATGTCCTTCAAGAAGACCTGGACAAAATAAGTATATGAAGCACCACTTGGCAAATGGAATTTAATGTTAATAAATGTCATGTTATGGAATGTGGAATAGGAGAACATAGACCCCACACAAACTATATATTATGTGAGAAATCTTTAAAGAATTCTGATAAAGAAAGAGATCTAGGGGTGGTTCTAGATAGAAAACTATCACCTGAGGACCACATAAAGAATATTGTGCAAGGAGCCTATGCTATGCTTTCTAACTTCAGAATTGCTTTTAAATACATGGATGGCGATATACTAAAGAAATTGTTCATGACTTTTGTTAGGCCAAAGCTAGAATATGCAGCGGTTGTGTGGTGCCCATATCTTAAGAAGCACATCAACAAACTGGAAAAGGTGCAAAGACATGCTACGAAGTGGCTCCCAGAACTGAAGGGCAAGAGCTACGAGGAGAGTTAGAAGCATTAAATATGCCAAAACTAGAAGACTAGAATGATCACTACATACAAAATAGTAACAGGAATTGATAAAATTGACAGGGAAGACTTCCTGAGACCTGGAACTTCAAGAACAAGAGGTCATAGATTTAAATTAGCTAAACACAGATGCCGAAGAAATATAAGAAAATTCACCTTCGCAAATAGAGTGGTAGACGGTTGGAACAAGTTAAGTGAGAAGGTGGTGGAGGCCAAGACCGTCAGTAGTTTCAAAGCATTATATGACAAAGAGTGCTGGGAAGACGGGACACCACGAGCGTAGCTCTCATCCTGTAACTACACTTACGTAATTACACTTAGGTAATTACACACATACACCGTGTTTTCCTTTTGGGTTAGTGCGGTCTGACCTCTCATTACTCAAGCCTTTACGCTAGTTTTTCATTTGATATATCATTATTGTGAGTTGAGGCTACATCATGAGGCAAGAGTGGTGTGGATACGTGGGACAATGTTTAGAGGAACACACGAACAGACGTTGGACACCCCTGGACGTGAACCGCCAGGAGAGCCAAACCCTGAGAACTCAGCAGATGAGTCACCCGAAGCGACCTGCCCCAAAGAGCCAAGGACCGCATCGAACCACCACGGTTCAGGCAACGAACCATCGGGGAGCAGTCTGATTGGAGCTGGATCGTCGTTCCGCAATGATCCAGCTCCAATCGGCGATCCCCCCAGAGCAAGCACATGTGGGACTGCAGCCGAAGGAGAGACTCCGGAGGAAGAGACAAGGAAGCGGTCTGAGAGTCCCACACAAGGCCCAGCCAGGACCAAACCTGGGAGGGAACCAGATGTGACTTCTGCCAGTTCACCAGGAACTCGAACCCGACTAGCTGGGAAAGCACCACACCCCTACCGAGCAGACACATTGACCAACTGGGAGCCCAAACCAGCCAGCTGTCGAGGTAAGCCAACACCCGAACACTTAACAGATGCAGACAGGCCACAATGACCCATTGAGACGTTTGAACACGCGAGGTGCCCGGTTCAACCTGAATGGGAGACAACGAAAGCGGTAACTCTAACGCCCCACCACAAAACCGAACAAGTCCCTGAACCTCAGATGAACCGGGACGTGCCAATACACGTCCTTGAGGCTCAGGGACACCATCCAAGCGCCCGGCTCCAAAAGAAGCCGGACCTGGCACAGAGTAGTCATCCGAAAGGAGGAGGGGGGCAAAAAACCCAGGGGTTCAGATGGGACAAGTCCAGAATGAACCGCAGGTCTGCACAGTCCCATTTTGGAACTGGAAATAGGTGGGAAACCCACCTGAGGGACGTTGTCGTTTCGCCCATGCCCAAGCGCACTCACTCCAAGACGGCCCAACAGAGCGCAGGAGAAGAGGCCTGTCCCGCCAGCCCCGAACTCCCCCGAAGGAGGAGGAGCCACCCAACACCACTGCAGGTGGCGAGAAACGACCCGAAAAGCCCACAAATCGTGGGACCAGGAGTGAGTGAACAGAGCAAGCCAACCCCCCATCGCCCCATCAATGGGGCGAACTGCAAAAGGGCCGATGCCCCGTATGAAAACCCGACCTGCGCACAGAGCGAGCACTGCGCCAACCAGATGTAGCCAGGACTGAAGGCTGCACTGGCTCCGAAACTGGCATCTGTGTCCCACCTTGATGGGTAGAACCACAGGCCCTGGCGCGACCTCCAGGAGGAACCTACCCTGGATCCCCGAAGAACCAAAATGTCAGACATTGGGCGGCAGCTGGAGGAAGCTGCCTGCATGTACTGTTCGACAGTGGAAGCAGCAAATAGCAAAGGACAAAAGGGCAAAGACAATCTACGAGCCAGGGGCCCAAGCGGATTCCAAGAAGGAAGTGAGCACCACCTGCCACCATGCGAGGCGTGCAGTGAAAATCCGCAACTGAGCATCCCGCAGGATCGGTGCAAACAGTTTCAAAAGGGCAGGTGATTCACGAGCAGCCAAGACCAAGGCGCTAGACCCAGGAACGGCCCCAAGGACCTCTATATCCTCCGTAAGCCAATCTGACGACAGCTCAAGGAAGGAAAAGAAGTGCAAGACCGAAGCCAATGAGCCCCGTGCGTGCAAGTCCTCAGCCACAAGCGCTGCCGACAAGGAGGAAACCTGCACGTGAAGCTGAACCGCACCAACATCCCACAGAAGAGCTGGAGCGAAAAGGCACTCATTAAGATGCGCAAAGTCAAGCCCTAGGTAAATCTGGACTACAGTCAACGCCTCACGTCACTCCAGCATGCAGATACAACAAAAGGTGTCCCACATATCCAGCGAAAACAAAGGGCAGTCTGCTAGCCAGGACAACTCCAGAACCTCATGATGAATCAAGTATGGAGGCGAAGACCCAAACCTGAAGGAAGACAGATTCATTATAGAGGCATAATCAGGTCATACAGGAGGTAAGCCACAATGGCCGCCCGCACCTCAGGCGGAGAGATGCGAGAAGACGAAAACCTCCAAAAGGACGGAACCAAAGGACCCGCAGGGACACAGAACCGAACCCTGGGAGGAGCCGAACCCAAATTCAAGTCGTACGCAGAGGGGGGGGGGGGTGAAACAACACTCCTTGTAACAGCAAGCCCCACTCGGAGGGTCGGAAAACCCAGGTGGGGTCCAACGGGGCCCAAGGCCCCCCAAGTCAGCTCCTCCCCAACCCCAGGAACCTCCACGTCAGGCTCTGGGGCCGAGTCGTCCTCCAAAGCCCCGGCCTCATGAGAAAAAGTCGGGGCAGCCGGAATAGCAGGAAGAGGATGGGCCCACTGGTCGGACCCCGGTGCTACGGCAGGAGGTACCAACTCTCATGTCACCAGCCCCCCCCCCCTCCTGGAAGAGGCAACCCCACAAACTGCCCGAGTCTCATTAACCTCTAAACCCTGCCCCGACCCCCAAAGCCCTCAGATGCTTAGGAGCCAGAAGCAGGGCGGGGGGGTGCCAAACTG